CACTCTTGCTTATCATAACTATGTGTTATGATTAGTTAGTTAGCTAGTTAGTTAATCTAATACCCAGGAGCAGAGAAGAAGATTTTCAAAGAAATAATACATTTTCACTACTGTATACAGGGTTATTTTCGCCCCGTGTTATTTTCGCCCTTTCATATTCGGAAACAAGTGTGCCCCGTTCTAAATTCGCCCAGAAAGATTTCTGTTTAAGATATTATACTGTTTACTTTGAGTTCGCCCCGTTTTAAATTCGACGAGGGCGAAAGGGGCGAAAATTATCTATAGAGCCCCGCCCTAGCACTAGAACCCCTGACCCTGGGGCCATGAATTTCACAATTTTGGTAGAGGACTCGATGCTCATTACATTCATGCCAATAGTTTGCCTGCTTGATGTCCAGGAGTAAAGAAGATTTTTAAAGATTTCATTAATTTTAGTCGTTTTGGCCCCACCCCTCAGGCCCCAGGGAGGCGGGGACCATGAAATTCACAATTTTTGTTTCCCTTCACCCATAGATGCTGTATACCAAATTTGGTTGAAATTAATTCAGTGGTTTCAGAGAAGAAGCTGAAAATGTTCAAATGTTAACACACGACGCACGACGGACGACGACGGACGAAAACGGATAGCAATAGGTCACCTGAGTTACTCGGGTGACCTAATAAGTTATTCAAATAAATTGAGGTTCATTTTATTCTAACAATAGAAACCAATGATAATTAACATGATATGGAATAAGAAGTGATTAATGGTGTTTTGCAATGAAAGGAAAATCTTAATACACTAAGATTTGTAAAATGATCGAAGTAAATAAAAGCAAATAAAGCACTTTATATGTATAAAATATATGTACATGTAATTTCTTCAAAAGCCATGCACGATACCTAGGATTTTTATTTCTAAAATGTGTTTGTTGATCAAACTTGCATTAGAAAATTTATAGTAGGTGTTTTATGCGAATTTTAAAAAAAATTATTTGATTTACTAATATGTAAAAGGATTAACATTAAAGATTAAGAACCCTCTCTACACCGCACACTTAAGCCTTCTGATTCTATGGTATTTTTCTGCGATTAGAGTCTGCCCTTAGATCTTAATTCTAACAAATAGAAATTTACAGTAAATTACTCAATTTGTAATTATTTCAAGTATTCTTAACAATTTAAAAGGTCATGATAAATTAACTGAACATGTCGTTTACATGTATTTTCCCTATGGATTGATTGATTGTATATTCTTGAACGTTGCTCTCGAGAATTTTTCAGTCATATGGAGACGTCACCGTATTCCGGTGAAGAGCACTAAATTTTGACCTTTACTCGACACTCAGGGCCATTAAGCAGTAAGGGATCTCTATCGTGCCAACGCCAGTCGCTGACATGGGGCCTCGGATTTTAAGGACTTATCCGAAGAACCCGCAACTTTCACTTCAAAGTGCCGAGCGCATGACGAAGGAACAGTTGCTACCCATTTATTTTATCGACTTAGGTCAGTCGCGGCTGAGATTCGAACTCACGACCTCCCGATCACGAGCGAGCTCTCTATCGACTGAACTACCGCGTCCGGTTTTTCACTATGGAAGTAAACAACAGTGAATTCTTCACTGATACTGTGTTGATAAATGTCACGCACCATACAGTGAAAATTAGGTAGATAAGCTCAATATTGACTCCTTTATACAATATATTTTTCGCGGTATCCAAAAAAAAAAAAAACATTTTGCATTTGTGTAGAGAGGGTCCTTAAGTTTGAAGAATTGTAGTGGGTAAAAAAACGTAAATTTTATAATCGTACGCGTGACACGATAAGTACTTAATAAAAAAAACATACACTCTTGATAAGTGATTGTTTTACACAATAAATAGATTTTTAAAAACCTGTTAACCTGGTAATTGTCTTATATAAGTCTACTTTTTTTATCTAAGATAATTTTAGAAGCGTCGAGTTTGATCTGATGATCCGCGCCTGTCAACAAGACGTGATACGACCCTTCGGATCAAGTTACTGCTAAAATGATAAATTTATTATATACCTCCTCATAACTAGCAAAATATAGCAAGAGAAATCTTTAGAGATCAATTGTTTAACATTTATTCAAAACACAAAGCATAATAACAAGGGAATTTTTAACGCGCAAGAAAAATAACGTCATGTTTCTGTGTAAAACGTCCTCAGTCTCAGAGAGCGGTGATATGGATTCAGAAAACCACAGTGTGGTGATCCGGAAAGTCTTATTACGAAGTCACGTGATAACGTAAAATCAACAGTAAAATTGAGTGATATACATTAGGTATGTAATAAAGTTTGTTACTTACTGAGTTGCTTACTATGTCTGAATAAATTGTCAGATATCTTCTGTCTATATTGCTTTTGGCTGCATAGACTGTTCACAAGAACTTACAATATTAAATTTTGATGAAAACCTAAGCGAAATGTTCCCTTTAAAAAAAAAGAAAGACTTTATAACAAAAATTCAATTTGTTTATTTAATTTTTTTTTTATATCAAATGACTATACTGTATATAGACTTATTTTTCGACCCGTGTTTATATCATTTCGCCTTTTCATACTTGCGAATATTTCTGCTCTAGTGCCAAGACACAGATACATATCATTAATATTATAGTTTGAATTGTTAACACATGTCTTTCCTTGGATATAAATCTCAAATCTAAATGCTAAAAGTTTTTATTTTATGAGCAACAACACTGGAAAAGTCCTTCCAAAATATATCCAGTTCATCCATTGATTCCTCAGAAGGATAATGACAAAAAAGGTTTTCATTGATCAAATCCTTCAGGGAATTCGGACATTTTCGCTTTAAATCGTAGGCTCCCGGAAGAATGATTAAATATACGTAATGAAGTCCTCCTCTCTTTTTTATACCCTCTAGTTTTGCCATGTTTAGTTCGTAATCCCTCCAGCCAGACTTTAGATAAGATTCCGAAACAACACAGAGTGTCATTTTGCTGCTCTCTATCGCGTCCATTATATTGTCAGCTTTATCACGACCTGCTAAAAAGTCTCTCGCGAATGCAGACGTTAAGGTTTAAATCTTGTAATTTCAACAGAAGTGTATTCATAACAAGTTCTCGATCCCGGGCAGAATATGAAATAAATATGTCATATGTGTAGTTCAATCGGTTTCTCTGATATAATATTTGCATATATCGACCTCCTGTCTTCATTTTTTGCTTACATTGATATATGGTAAATCTTATTGTCCAAATATTTCTTTTCACTAACATAGCGATGACCACGAAAACTAAAATGGTCAAGACTATGGATGCAACAATGTAGAATGTGGTGTAAGATCGGCATTCCACTACCAATGATTTAAGAGATACAACAGGATCGCTGAAATTGAAATTTTTCTGACTTTTTATGGCACATTCGTAGTCATCAAATCTTTTGAAATTTTCTTTATGTTTAACCATCCACTGGATGTATGGAACATTTTCACACGAGCAGTCAACGTTATTCCCAGATAGATCTATGGACGTGTTTTTCAGCCTTATCAAATCACTCAGTTCCTGTCTGATTTCATGCCTGATAGAATCTATTCTATTTTCAGATAAATCAAGATGTACTAAGTGATGCATATGTCCAACGTGAACATTCAACTCAGAAAGTTGGTTATTGTTAAGAATCAATGTCCTGATATTCCGAGATCTTTTCAATAGTAAAGACGGCAAATGATAAATCTTATTGGAGCTTAAGTCCAATGTTTCTAACGAAACCAAATTTATAAATATAAGTCCACTCATGTCTCTTTCAAGATTATCTCCAACCGAGTTTCTAGAAATATTGAGATGTAAAAGTCCTGTTGCATTAACAAAGAAATCGGATGACAGTTTCGTAAAGAAATTATTCGAGAGATCAATAAGAGTAACGTTTTGTATCCCGTACATTGGTCCTATCCATTCATTCAATATATTATTTTGAAAGAACATATGCCTCAATTTCGGTGCAATTACACCAAATGCAGATATCTTGGAATACAGCCTACTATCGTTAACATAAATTGTTTGGAGATTTTCAGGAATATGTACAAATATAACTGGTTTCCAGTGAGAAACTTCAATCCTGTAGAATTTTCTAAAGTTCTGCAGAAAAGTTGAGAAATTTGTAGAATGACTGTGCTTTGTAATGTTAAAAGGCTACGGATCATCTTGATTTTCTTTGCAAAGTTCGAAGACTGCAGTCACGTATTCTGGTGGTTGAAACTGTAGACTCATATTAAACATAGTCAAATTATGAAAGCCAATAAAGTCTGCTATGTATGGACCTTGTAATAGTTTGTTCTCGGCCAAGGATAACCTTTCAAGGGTTGGTGGTAAATATCGCACAAGGCCTCTTTCGAACAGTTCCAATCTATTTCTGGATAAATTATCTCTTCTAACTTGGTTTTTCTCAGGTTCATGACATGGCGAATTAACAGTCTTTTTCCCAATCCCGTCAAACAATTAATATTATGTAAATAAAGTATTTTGATTGACGTCCTCTTTAGATTATATGTTATATTTGGGAGTGAAGCAAAACCTAATTCTTTGTTGTAAGAAATGTCCAACGATTTTAAATTCCTTAAAATTTCGAATGCACCTCTCTCAATATGTTTGATTTTACAAGATGATATATCTAGATATTGAAGATATGGTGTGTTGAGAAAAAAAGTCGTGTGTGATTTTTACAGTTTCATAATGTCCTCGTGAACCAGAGATGTCCAATAGACTAAGATTCTTCAGTCTGTAGAAACCTTCTGAAAGTAAAAAGTTGCCTACTGCATCCAATCGTAGTTCCTCTAACAAAATCAATTCACTGAGAATTTCTCCAATATAACTCCAGTTTCGTTGCATCTTTACAGAATTGTTTTTCAAGTTCAAAACTAACAAGGATTCTAAAGGCTGAAAAAGTCCTGGATAAAAATTCTTCTCATTTAGACTTAGTCTATTACTGGATAGATTCAAATACTTTAGCCTTGGGATAGTGTCAAAAGGATCACCTTTAAAGGAAAAAATGCTGTTGTGAGAAAGATCCAAATACAACAGGTTTTTCGGATAACTGACGGAAATATTTTCAATCGAGTTAAATTGAAGGTTAATCCAGACCACGTTATGTGGAAATATTGGAACTTGATTCAAGTGTAAATGAGAACAGTCTGCCTTAATGGACCCTTCGTCGAGTTTCAAACATTTACATGTTGCCTCACTGAAATTACAGGATTTCCATTTATCAGAGTCTTCACGGTCGGAACTAACTCCATACAGAGAACATGTAACAAGCAATGCATATAAAGTGCATGATATTTGGAAGAAACGGTATATACTAAACTTGGCCATATCGTTTAGGTTAATGTCCACTGCATAAGCCAGGGAAGTGAAAATAACTCTTATCGTATAAAATTAATAAACACGGAAGTTTACAGGGATGAATGGGGAAAAGAGCGTCATTGAAATTTTGGGTTAAAGGTTGTTTTTAAAGTATTCGTTGAACGCTAGCACTTCAATGAATATCTAAACATTAAAATCACGGACCTGAATTCATTGGAATCTACCAGGCATAACGTATCTGTATCTCAATATAGTCAATGCATGCATTATACATAACTACGATTTATCAGAGATGGTAAGATAGGGAAAATTGAAAATTAAAAAAAAAATGCACTACCCATTACATGTTTTGAGATGGAAAGAGAAAAGAAATATATTGAGAACTGTCTAAACACATTCGGGAAAAGGAATATTAATTTGTCTTTACTTTTGGACAGATCGAGTAAAATTTCATGAGATTGAAAGCGAAATAGATTTTATTTTAAATTTATTTTTTTTTTCAATACCTTAAGTAATATTTGAATAGGAGAACATATATAATAATTTGCATGTATTTGTCCCTATTAAGGGAGCAACAGGAAACAACATGCAGTTATATCTAGTCATCAGAACTTCAGTGTCTTTGAACATGGTTTCTCGAAGTATGCCGGGTCGCATGTTGTTGAAAGTGACAATCATGTTTTTAAAAAATCAACGCAAAAAAAAAAATGATAATAAATTCAAAAGGAAATATAAAACCTTCAATTAATAAGGAATTTGTTTAATTTCAAAGAAAATGTTTAAGAATTTTGACAGTTTTACCGTGTATATTAGAGTCCATTGCCTGTATTTCACTTTGTCTTGTCTAAAGACTACGAAGAATTGTTCATGGGCACCGAAGCAAAAACGTTGATGTTATTTAATACAATGTACATCTACATGTATGTGGTATATAACACATTATAGAGTAGGGAAAGCAACAATTTTGATTATTTTTTTATGCACATCCATGTTTATCATTATCTCAGTCTTCTTTAAATAACTTACACGAAGTATGCTGTTTTTTCGCATATTTTTCTTATTGCACTCAGATCAGAAAACTGTTGATTCAGATGTTATTCAATGGCTATTGTTTACATGTTAACGACTAAAACACCTGTTACGGAAGCTTAGTGGTGTGTAGTAATTGAGTTTTCAAAAAAGCAAATAAAAACATGAACAATTAATCATTACTGTATTTTACGTAGGATCTAATGTTGACCGTGTCACAATTGCAGTTTTGTGTTGAAAACTTCGTCAGCAAATAAAACGTTTCCGGGGTGTTATTGTAAAAATAATTTTAATTGTATTTTTATATCTATTTTTAAAAATAATATTGATTCTGTCTCGGTTGTGTTTCTGTAAATTCCTTCCTAGGTATAGATCCACCTTAAAAAGGTTTAAAAACTGGATTTTGTCAGTTTTTCGGAAAAGTGTGATCGGCAGCATGGAAATTGTGAAGTATTTGATGATTTTTGGAGTGCTTGGATTTGCAGCTGGGAAAAGTATTCCGCTTAACCAACAACTTTCTCGCAAAGTTCGGTTATTGAAGAGAATTCAATGCATACTCGGTGATCAGAAACAATGTGACCGAAGAGTTTTAAAACAAAGATGGTACAGGGAAGAAGTCAGTACAATATACATCCATGGGAAGATTTATACTGTTCACGGTCAACGCTGGAATGAAACTCCACAGGAAGCCATGGTTGTGAAAAACGGTAAAGTTAGTTTCATAGGAACATCCAATGAGGCTTTGGAGTATTTCACATGTCGGAGCACGGTGTTGAATCTTCATGGTGCAACAATACTTCCAGGATTCCATGATGTCCATATTCATCCCTTGGAGTCAGCGTCGGATGTTGGTGGTACATGTCAGCTGAAGCCAAACACAGACCCCGATAGTGAAGAATTTAAGAACATTTTCAGAACATGTGCCAAAAGGCAGATAGGAACAAAATGGATTCTTGGAGGCGGTCATTCAATATCAAGTATTTTGAAACACATCAGGAATGGTGGAAAACCACCAAGGAAGATAATTGATGAAGTTTTACCAGATGTCCCAGTTGTCATGTTGGAGGAAACATCGCACTCAGTTTGGGTGAATACCAAGGCACTCCAACTGGCTAATATCACAAAAAACACAACGAGAAGACCTGGTGGCGTTATCATGAGAGAACCTGTAACCAATGAGCCTAATGGAATTCTTCTTGAGGATGAGGGTATATCCATCATGGAATTTGCCTTGAAGCCAACAGCTGAGTTGGAGGAACTTAATTATCAAGGACTTATATATGGTCTTGAAAAATTAAACACTAATGGAATAACCTCAGTATGTGATGCCAGGTTGTTTTGGACTCGAAACCACGACAAAGCGTGGGATAGGGTATGTAGAGAAGACAAATTGACGGTGCGTGCTAATCTTGGACTTTGGGCATATCCACAGAAGGAAGATGAACACCAAATTCAAAAACTGAAAGATATGTATACAAACGGTAACCCGGATTGCTTCTTGAAGAAAAATCAAATAAAAGTGTACATTGACGGCTTGTTAGAAAGTACAACCGCGGCCATGGAGGAACCCTATTTGGAGAACTTGCATTTACCTGGTATTCCTGACAACAGAGGCATGAATATTTTTGACCAAGCACGTTTGACAAAGTATGTCAGAGAACTTCAGCACTTTGCTGCAGGCAAAGGCTTTGATTTCCATATTCATGCAATTGGCGACCGTGGTGTTCATCAAGCCCTGAACGCGTTCAATGATTCGTGGATCCAAGGCACTCGTCATCGAATGGCTCACCTGGAACAAGTTGATGAGATGGATATCGACCGCTTCGCACGTTTAAATGTCATTGCCGACTTCCAAGTCGCTGGAAACTTTACTCTACCCTCTTATCGAAAAGAACTTTCAAAATTGGTTGGAGAAAACAGGGCGTACAATTCCATTCCCGTAAAAAGCGTGTTTGACACTGGCGCTAAAGTGACAAAAGCAGCGACTGGGATGTCAGTGACCTGAACCCCTTTGTGGGCCTCCAGCATGCTATTTCTAGAGGACATCAGTCTATCACTATTAAATCAGCCGTGGAGATGTACACAATCAACGCCGCTTACGCCATGAGGCAGGAGGACGATGTTGGATCCCTGGAAGTAGGAAAACATGCCGATTTTGTCGTTATCGACACGGACATCATGGATCCTTCTAATAAGGACTCCATTTATCAAACCCAAGTCCTCCAAACCG